AAGCCACATGTATAAACTTTTACAGTATGTAGACATTTACCACTGGAGAGTTATGTATCAAATGTCATTCTATTCTGTCCACGTGGATAGAAGACCGTCTATTCAATTATCAATCTACTTCAACCATTGGAGATGCTCTAAGGTGTCAGATTACAGACCCATTAATCTCTGTATTGTTGTTTATTAATTGATCTCTAAGGTTATTGCCAATAGATTAAAATTTGTTCTTCATTCTTGTCTTTCTCCTTCTCAACCAGTATTTGTTCCTGACAGACAAATTTCGGACAATGTAATCATTGTCAATGAATGCATATACTATCTTAACAGTAGGAGGAAAGACAAAAAGAAGTTTATGGCTGTTAAACTTGATGTGGCAAATGCTTATGATAGGATTGAGTTGAATTTTCTTGCTAGGGTATTTTTTCAGATGGGTTTTTGTAATAGGTTTGTTTCTTGGATTTTGGACTGTGTCTGTTCTTCATCTTTCTCTTTTAATGTGCATAGGGAAGTCCTTGGTTAGGTTTTGCCCTCTAGGGCATTGAGACATAGAGCTCTCCTTTATCCCTATCTTTTTGTCATGCTCTCTGAGGCTTTGTCTAATTTGATTAAACAAGCTTGTTGTGATTCTTCTTTCCATAGTATTAAAATCAGTAAACATGGTCCTAGTATTTCTCATTTGTTCTTTGCTGATGATTCATTATTGTTCTGCAAGGCTAATGTATCTCATGCTCACATTATTCTGAATTTGTTGGATGAGTATGGGTTGGCTTTTGGGCAATGAGTCCATCTTGATAAGTCTTCCATTCTTTTCTCCAAAACATTTCTTCTCAGGAAGCCACTGATATTTGTAAAGTGTTGAATGGAATTACTAGAGTAAGTTCTTCAAGTATTTGGGCTTACCTGTAAGGATTGGAAAAACAAATAGGCATATATTTCAGTTTGTGAGTGACAGAGTAAAACCAAGAGTGGAGAGCTGGAAAAATTAAGTTTGTGAGTGAGGCTGGTAAGGAAACACTTATTAAAATAGTGTCTGATGCTTTACCAACTTATGTCATGTTCTGCTTTAGGTTGTCTGTTTCAGTGTGCAAAGATATTTGTAGAGAAGTGGCCAATTTCTGGTGGGAGGATAATTTTGCTGGGAATAATAGGGTTCATTGGTCTGGGTGGTGAAAGTTAGATGTGCTTAAGGATTCTGGGGTTTGAGGTTTAGGAACCTAAGGTTTTCAATGGAGCCCTTATAGTTAAACAATTGTGGAGGTTGATCACTTAACCTAACTTGCATGTTAGTATACTTATGAAGAGTAGATACTTTTGGAAACATAATTTCCTGCTGATTAAGCCTAAGAGCTCTGGCTTTTGACTTTGGAGAAGCTGGTTGGAGGCTAGAGGTTCTTTTCAATTGGAGGGTAGGTACCAGGTAGGGGATGGGAGTTCCATTCACATTTAGGATTCGCCCTGGGGCCTGGATCCCTAGTGTGCCTTCTTTTAAATCCTCTTGTCATTTTTCAAGGGAGAGGGACAAGGTTAGTAGAGTGGGGGAGTTGATTAGGAAAGAGAGGAGAGAGTGGGATAGGGACCTTATTAAACAAACCTTTAACCCATATGAGGCTGAGGCTATTTTGAAGATCCCTATTAGTGTGTTGGGGCTGAGAGATATATATAGGCTAGTGTGGCATGAGAGTAAGAAGGGTGTCTTTTCTGTTAAGTTCTATGACATGCTTGTAACTAATATGCTGAAGTACATAAACAAACCAAGTTCTAGCAACTTCCAGAGCTGTTATAAGAAGATGTGGACAATCACTTGACTAGGAAGTTGTCTATTAAAAACAAAGTTAAATAACTTTTGTTGGAGGTGTTGGGTTGGTTTTTTAAGTACTAAACTCCAATGAGGTTGATAGGTAGTGAAGTGTGTGGGGTTGAAGAGGAGGATACAAATCATATATTTTTTAATTATCCTAGAGCTGTAACTTGTTGGAAATTCTTGGGGGTTAGCTGGAGAAAATTGGAAAATAAAAGGGTATCCTTTAGGGACTGGTGGTTTGAGGTGTGTAGTGTAGGAAGGTGAGAGTGCTTTAGGGATAGGTCTAGTCTTTGAAGTTACATGTTGTAGTTGTTGGGGTAGAACACCAAACGCAGCGGACAAAAATACCCCTCCAACAAATATGACAAGCACTACTCCAAACGAAAATAAGCCAACACAAATAAATAAAAGACGGGAAATAAAAAGACACAAAAATTGATAACGGAGTTCGGCGAAAATAGCCTACGTCTCTGGGCACCGCCAACCGCAACGCCAAATTTACTAAACTCACCAACAAAATACAACTAGGGTTAAATAACCCACAAATTAGGATTTCCTTAATTAAGGATTTCCTACCAAGAGAGGAGAGAATAGAATAAGGTGCAATTGTAACCCAAAGGCAAGGGACCTATTTATACTAATAAGTTCCTACACATCTTTGGTATACATTCGATGTGGGACAAACAATTAATCAAAAACTAACAATTCTCCACCTTGACTAATTTTGCTCCCACTTCGACTCTTCAATCTAAATCAACTGCTAGCGGTGCCTCCAAATGCGCCTCACGGCGCGAACTCAAATATGCAGAATGTTGGTCAAATCTAAACAATGTTCAAACTTGACTGTTGTCACTACCTTGGTCATCATATCTGCAGGATTCTCCGTCATCTTGATCTTCTTCAACACAACGGTTCCATCTTCTAGAATCTCCCGCACAAAGTGATAGCGAACATCAATATGCTTCGTTCTTGCATGAAATACTTGATTTTTCGCTAAGTGATTAGCGCTCTGACTGTCACAATGCACTAAGACGTGCTTTTGACCAACTCCCAAGTCTTCAAGCAAACTTTGAAGCCAAATAGCCTCCTTCACAGCTTCAGTAACCGCCATATACTCTGTCTCTGTTGTAGACAAAGCAACCATTGACTGTAAGGTAGACTTCCAACTGACTGGAGCTTTCGCAAAAGTGAACAAATACCCAGTCGTTGATCTTCGCTTATCCAAATCGCCCGCGTAGTCAGAATCACAATATCCAACCACACATTGACCAAATTCATTATGCTCATAAACTAATTCAACGTCTACAGTATTATGAATGTACCGTAGAATCCATTTCACAGCTTGCCAATGACCTTTACCAGGGTCATGCATATATCTGCTAACAACACCAACTACTTGTGAAATGTCGGGCCTTGTACACACCATCGCATACACCAAACTACAAACTGCATTTGCATTTGGGACTCTATCCATGTACTCTCGTTCTTCATCACAATTTGGCGATAATTGGGCACTTAACTTAATATGAGGGGCAAGTGGTGTACTTACAGGCTTCGTCTCATCTTTTATGCTGAAACGTTGTAGTACCTTATTCAGATATTGCTTCTGAGTCAAACAAAGCTTGCCTCTCCTTCTGTCCCTACTTATCTCCATCCCGAGAATTTTCTTAGCTTCCCCCAAGTCTTCCATCTCAAACTCTTGGTTCAACTGAGCCTTCAACTGATCAATCTCCACTTGGCTCTTTGATGCAACCAACATGTCATCCACATACAAGAGTAAGTAAATGAAAGATCCATCTTGCAGCTTGCGTAGATACACACAATGATCATGTCTGCTTCGTGTGCTTCTGCCCAATCATAAACTTATCAAACCGTTTGTACCACTGTCTCGGAGATTGCTTCAGTCCATACAACGATTTATTCAACTTACATACCCAATTCTCTTTTCCAAAAATTTTGAATCCTTCTGGCTGAGTCATGTAGATTTCCTCATCTAAATCTCCGTGTAAGAACGCCGTCTTCACGTCAAGTTGAGCTAGCTCCAAATTCAACTGTGCTGCTAAGGCTAACAAAATTCTAATGGAAGAGTGCTTAACAACTGGAGAAAACACTTCATTATAATCAACTCCTTCCTTCTGAGCGTAGCCTTTAGCCACCAATCTTGCCTTGTAGCGCACATCATTCTTCTGAGGAAATCCATATTTCTTTGCAAATACCCACTTGCATCCTATCGCCCTTTTGCCTTTTGGTAGTTGCGTCACCTTCCAAGTTTGATTCTTCTGAAGAGACAACATTTCTTCCTCCATAGCCCTTTTCCACTTCTCATTTTCTAACCTCCGAATTGCATCTTGAAAAGTGAAAGGTATGTCATCATCAACAATTGGAAGTGCATAAGCCACTATATCCGTCAATCGAGCAGGTTGTTGAATCTCTCGTCTGGGCTTTCTCAATGCAATGGGTAACTCTAATGATTCTTGAGTCTGTACTTCATCATCCGACGAATCCTTTGATATTGGTT